AACTCCTAAGATTCTGTGATTCTATGATTCTCCCTAACTTCCTTCCAATGTTTTACCTTCAGAAGTTCTCACCTGCATTTCTAATTTTTCTCTGATCATCCTTTTTTCATCTGATAGTTCACAGCAATCTCTTGTCATGTGAACAATATATTCTACTCTTCTATGATCAGAATCAGATTCTTTTCAGTAATGTGAGTACTAAGTAATTTTATTCCAATAAGACAATACAGCTTTGTGTCTGCTTATGCCAAGGATCTGATCATCATACTGGGAAATAAACTAGTATCAATCTATGCAACAGGTAAAACTTGAGTAACAGCAGCTGCAAGCCTCATCATATTATCCCATTTAACCCTGTTAGGGCTGGCTCACCTCTGGTAACGGGAAAGCTATTCAATGCCTGTGCCCTTTTAGCTTATTATATTCGTCCTGTGGCTGCTAACAAAATGCAGAAATTCATTATGACTGGTAGTTTTCCTGTACTTGATGACAAGGAACAAGTCTCTGACCTCCAGCTCATTCAGTGCTTGTTTACTTCAACACTGATAATGACTTTTGATCTGGTCTGATTTCAAGTCACCACCTAAGAGTAAGAGATGCTGCACCATAAACATTTTTGATGTATCTTAAATTTCTGAAAATGTAAAAAACATTTTTAAAATCCACACAGGTATTTTTTTTCCTTTTTAATTTTAAGCACTTTTCCATGAGGTGAGGAAGGGTAGGTAAAGGTCCTTCTATTCTTCAGAAAATTATGGGCAGTAATTAATCCTTCTTACAATCCTAACTTTATATTGCAAGAAGCTCTTAAAAACATTCTTGTGGTCAGACTCTAATTTCTTTGACTTGCTTGTGAAGCATCCTGAACAGGAAGTTTCACAGAAATAACCTGGCAAGAGTGTTCTAAGAGAAAGGGATACAAAATAACGTTTACCACTGATCACTGAAACTATACTCAGCATTTCATTCAAACTTCAGAGTTCCCCTGGAAAACAAGCCTTCTATGCACGGTAGGTTAATGTTAGCCAAATATCTCACAAGGCTGCTGTGATTTAAGTAAATGCCAAAGAAATCTCATGGCTCAGCTATGCTTTACAGCAGTCCATTTGAAAGTCATAATGATTTTTTAGCATCTCTTGAAGTGTTGCAAACCATGCTTAAAACATTAACAACATATTTCTGCAACACTATCTAGCACATAATTATTTCTAAGAGCTTCAAAATATCTGAAAATCATTTACCACTCATAGTACTGCGTGTGAGAGAACAGGATACTATGGCAGCTTGTACAGACAACTTCTTAGAAAAATTGCCTTAAACAATTCCTTATTTGTCCAGTGACAGTACTATTTTATACTCTGTTTATGCAATATGAAGAAATTCTATGTGCTTTTTAAAAATACACTTACATACATAACTCTCAAATGCTGTTATATCAAGTGCAAAATAAAAGTTGCAGTTTTAAAGGAATTTTTTGCTACAATAAATCAGTTGAAATGTCAACTTTTTCTTATCAGTGACAAGAAAAATAGAATATAATATCCCAAAACTTGCTAGCATCACTCAATATAAGCTGCTGTTGTCCTATTAAAAGTTTACACATTTTGGGTTTAGGCTCACACTTTACACTTTGGAAAATAAAAGCACTTATACAATTAAATGCATACATTTAAAAACAACACTGAGTTTCAGATTCATTAAAATATTTTTACTGCTCTCCTCAAAAGCTTATTTTCTGCCAAAATTTTGCACTTGAAACTTTTGAGGTATTGCAGTATATACTGTATCTTTTCAGCAGCATTATGCACTTTATTTCCATTAACATTGCAAGTCTTTTGTAAATGTGCCCTGTATTTCATTTTGCAATTCATTAATGAGTGCACACAACAGGAGGGTATGCATACACCTATGTTGTAAATTTGTTTTGGCAGTTATCTCTCTTCTTACTAAAAAAAAGGACTTTAAGCTGCCTCAGGAGGACTGTATACATATAAAACATGTTAGATTACTTTTTATTAGTTCTGTCTCAGGAACTTAATCTCCACTTGCTTGTGTTTCATGTTTCTACATCTAAAATATATAGTGGTCACCTGTTTCTCTTCTTCCGATGCTCTCTGTTGGAATTTTCTGATTCACTGCCACTGCTGGTGTTACAGCGAGATCGTGATCTGGAGAGGAGAAAAGCAACATCTCAAGATGAATTTATCTCCTAACATCTTGTAAGAAGCACTGAAGTTCTAAACAAGGAATGAAAAACACTGAAAAGACATTACCAGGAAAATGATGATTAAAAGACTCTAGAGGGCTTGTCTACACCTGAACATTGTATTATCTTTTTCTCATTAACTGACTGGGAACAACTGCTTCAAAGGCAGTGCACCCAGAGTGCAGTGTCATATGAGAGCTGCTTTGAATCATTGCACTGTATTTTGGTTTGTTTGTTTGTTTTATCTCTCAGTATTCTTTGTGTATACACCACAGAGTAATGTTTCTTTTGAGGTGTGAAAAGTTTTGTCTTTAAACTGTATGGATTCTGACTCTTCTTACTGCATAATGTGGGACATCCAACAGAAATGATAAAGTAAATCTGACTTTGCAGGCAAAACAAAATGCTCGCCAGATCTGTCTTTTTCTATTCACCTCAACTTCCATATGAAGTCTAGTAAGTTCGTATAATCTTTCAGGTGTCAGGCAGTATGAAAGAAACACCACTAACACTGTCATTCTGCTGATCTCTTTAAATACAAAAAGGCTGAAGGGCACAGATTGGCAGATGTGTGTACCAGAACAGCTCTGGAATGACCCAATGCACAGCTACAAAGATGGTGCATCATGTAAGGAAAAAAACATAAAGCAGTTATTTTAGTGTCACCTCTGACTCGCAAAGCTTCAGAAGGTAAGGTGACATCTATGGCTCTGATTATTTGTTACTGAAAAAGACTAGTGGAACAGGCTGATGCTGAACTTCAAGAAGAAAATGGGCATGCACCTACAAGCAAACTCCTCTCAGTAGACAGAAGTGCTTGGCCACTACTGTATGAGATCCTTAAATCCTTGAGTGGCACCAATCAACATTTTGGAGCAGCCAGACCAGCTGTCAAGGCTCTGGTCTTAGAAACCAGGACTCTGTTACTGTACCACTGGGCTAGGTCCTAAAATACGGCACTCTCATCAAAACTTGGCTTGGACCATTCTTTAGTGTGATGATGGTCTTTGAAAGCCTTTAAGGTAAGACACATTTCTTTGCAGCACTGATGGCCAAGCTGATTAATGGGGAAAGTGGATCAATATTAACATGAGCTGGCCTAGAAGGATTTAGGCTATCAAGATTTAGAATTGGTGACTACTTTGCTGCAATGGAGAACAGAAATTTTCTTCTCAGGTCTCTGGGCATGAAATAAGAGATATAAGGGGATGAATACTGATGCTGCTGGCAGAGACGTATACTTTCTTGTGCCTCCTGCCTTTTCTTTTGTACTTTGATGTGCCACATTCATAAGAGAACAGATTTGTTAAACTACACCTCAAACAAGATGAGTGAAGGCAGTTCATTACATGTAAGTAAGAGGTAAGGGGACGCATTTCATGACAAGGTTGGAGGCTACTGACAAGCACCTGGTCACTGCATGTTGTAACAGTTTAGACAGAAGAGCCCAAACACAATGAGGACAGGCAAGAGAGACTTCCTAGGAAACAGAATAGCTGCAATGTGGTCCTCCCCTGAGTGTTCTATCTGGTCAGGGACACATCTGTCTCTGAAACTAGGACACTGTTACAGATGTCCTTCTGACACAACTGGTAGTTTCACAAATTTGCCTATACCACCCATGAATTATAGTTGGTTTTAATGAATTACTGTGTTATTAAACGGCTCAGAGTCTATGGAGTCTGGTCACACCCCTCTCCCAAACTAAGAAATCATTAACTCAAATTGCTCCCATTCAAACAGAAATGTTTAGAACAATAGGACAGCCAAAGCCTAGGAAAATCAGTTCAACCCAGCTTGTCTGCAGAGAATAGACATGGAAAAGTGATCTTCCCTCAGAGAAGAAGCAGAAATCCCATCCCCAGATTTCATGGCTTATAATTTAAAGCCATTGAGAGGCTCAGTTTCCCAGGTAAAAAATATACATTTATGATGAAGCTGAAAGTGACGATAAGAAAGATGTATGTTACTACAGAAAAACGTAACTCTGAAAGAAGAAGGAAAATTAAAAGATGGTGTCCAAAAGATACCAGCTCAAGCACATTCACAGACTTCAGAGCAATAAATGTCCCAGAAAGGCAGCAGACCTTACACGCCCAAAGGTATAAATTTTTCACCCTCCAAATCTTATCAGATGTTTAATAAATATTCCACTAATCTTGTAGCTCAATATTACTATGTCATCCAAGGAATATTGTTCTTGCACTGACTTCCAGGTCATCAAAGCAACTCTATTCTTTTACATTTCTCAGCACTTCAAGAATTTTCTTACTCTAATTTAAGCAATTTATCCCATAAGGTACCAAGGCAGCAAACATCACACCATGGCAGAAGTGCAACATAAAACATACTAGTTGCTCAAATTGAAGATAAGCCATTCTCTAGCTTTTCAGGAATGGAAAACTGATCCACCTTTTGCATGCTACACATCAAATTACCTTGTGTTCCCTGTCAGGAAAGCACTTGCGGGGAGACAGCAGGGCTGCTGAGCTGACAGCTGAGTGACAGCTGCTCATGCTGGCTGTCAGAATATTATCTTTCACTGAATATTAGACATCAGCTTTTACTGAACTAAGTAAAATTCTAAAAATAGAAACAAAGGTGGTTTCCTAAGTCAGGTGCAAGAACACATGAGATCATCTTGATCTTTGACAATTACAAAGCATCTTTCATCTTTTTTCTCATGTTTTCTTGGTCATGCAATATATTTGATATTTTGTGGGTGGTATATCTATACGATCTGACACAAGGAGTAAGACAGAAGGCATAGTCAGTTTGGCAAGAGGACAGAACATATATGGCCCGGGGGGAAGGAGGGGGGGGTTAGGTTGCAGGATTTAGTATTTCAGAGAAACATTTGACAGAGAAGGCTCATGTGGTGCAGTTCTTTTCTGATGAAAATTAGAGAAAAGTAGCAGAACTGTAAGGAAGTGGAGAAGGTCTATTCCAATATATACTATCAAACCTGTACATTCATAATGTAATACCAGCACAGGATTATCACTGTGAGCTTGTAATGGTAACAATCCTCCAGAAAAATAATCTGTTATTTTATAATAGCTGTAAAGTTTGCAAGTACTTTCCCTGACTTCCTGTGATTGTCCCTGAGATGTTTGTATCTCTGCCAGAGCTCATTTTCCGTGCTGCAGCAGTGAATCAGATCCTGGGAGTGCCTCCACTCCTTCACAGGCTTCAAGAAAATCTGACATTGAAATGTACTGCACTGCTTCCTTTTTCCAGCACTCAGGGCAGGAGCACAGTAGTAAGGAGAAGCACAGAGTCATGGTAGACAGATGTGGCCCTAGAGAACTCCAGATGCACACCTGAAGTCACACCAGTATTTTATTTGGAAATGTGACAACTAGTCAAGACTGCTCAGGGGGAAAACAAACAAACAAACAAACAAACAAAAACTTCTGCTACTGACTTTCAAGTTGCAGACAAGCCTCTTGTAAACTTCCACAAACTGCTGCTAGCATGGGGCAGTAACAATGTGCAAGGCAGCTTGTAGGAATCTGTGCTGTGATGAAGTTATGCTACAGAGCGTTTTAGCAGAAGTAAGATAGGAATGAAAAAATTAAATGGACAGAACACAACAAGCCTTTTAAACATTCAAGAAGATGCAGGAGAAGGAACAAAAGGAGGGAATGCAGGGAACTAAAATATGATCAGTACCTTTGCTATCATTTCATGGCTACTATAAATTATATATTTACCTTCTCCTTTGCTTTAAATCTGAATCTTCACCACTGTTTTGATTTTTCCTGTGATATTAAGGAAGTTTTAATGAAATACTGTAGGATCACTTAACGCAAGTACACAACAACTCCAATTTTATTTAAAAATAAACTTTACAAGGGTGTATCTTTTTCAATATTATTTAAGGAAAAGAAAAAAAAAGGCATGTGCTTGTTTTACACTTTTCGGGTCATCTCTTCAGTAAGTTGTGAAGGCATGATCCCATTTGAGCTCTCATTGCAAACCCCTAACTTGTAAGGTTATGCTAGCCTCTAGAGTTTCCCACTGTGTGCAGCACAGCAACCCAATGTTTTCCTCTTAATTCCAGTAAAAAGTACTTTAACAACACAGCTATTGTTATTAAACAGTTGAAAAAAAAAAGTGCGTGAATAAAATCACTATTCAGGAAGGTATAATTAGGTTAGAATCCACCTACTATTGTCAGTCTTCACAGATAAGACTTTAAAAAACATTTTGTTGGTGTGGTGACCCAGCAGAAAATTTGCTATTGGCATGACCATTTGTCCACTAAGTAGATCAGCCAAATGCAAATCTCAGATGATAAACACGGCATCTCACAAAATTTCCTACTGGATAGTGCACAAACACTGCTTTTTTCTTGGTACAAGTCAGTTTTGCACTACACATCTCTATTCATTTGTTTTTACAGAGCCAAACAAGTCCTTCTGACAACTAAACTAACAATGAATCAGAAAACCCATTTAGGAAACACACTGCTATCAACACTTACAAGGGCTCTTATCTAACAGAGTAAATCAAAATAGCGCTATTGACTTAGAGAGAGCTACACTGATTTACATTAGCTGAGGCACAAGTCACTAAGCATACATCATGGGTGCATTTCTTCACTCCTGTTCTAAACTGCAAATGGCAGATAAAAGGTCTGGAGCAGCTCAGAAAACTGACAAATATAAAAGCTTCACATCTAACTACATTTCCTCATGGATATAGTTGCATCTTCAGAGATTCCTTTGCAAACCCTGGCTTTGAAAGCCAAACATGTAATGACTTCAGATGCCAGAAAGAGATGTAACTTCAATGTGATGGCTCATAAGGCAGTCCTAGATTGCAATGAGTATGGCACAGTAGCTATACTTGTCTATAGTTCACAGCAGATCACAGCACCAGGGTAACTTAGTGATGAAAGCAACTTCTCAGCAGGACAAATCATACCAGGTAACACATAGTCTCTCAAAGCTGCATCATTTCAGAACTGTCCCTGTAATTCGCATTTTGGACATACTCCAGGACACACAGAACAGAATCTCCATCCATTTAATTTTATAACTCTAAGTTACCAATTCAGCACATACCCATTAAAAACGCATTAAGCATTTCATAAGATGTATTTTCACTGGCATCCTCTCTAAAGTAAATGTGTAAAGTAATTCACACATGTGACTGTTGAAGACAGCTTTATGGCTCACTCATTTAATTTTTGTTGCACTTAAAGCAAAACAATGTACTTAAAATATTAGAAGTTCATTATCAAGCAAGCACCATCCATCAATTCTTTCCTTCACAAGTGAAAAATAGCTGCAGCAACTGAAAGGATCTTGCACATGCCAACAATGCAATTTCTCATACTTTTAAGATCATTCGTCTAGTACCCAGAACTGCACACAAGCAAACAGCCTGACCAAAGTTTCCATTTCAAAAGAAGATCTGGTATGCTTGCTCAGAGCTTTTTTGGACTAACAACTGGCCCCTAGAGCACCCCTTTTCCCAGGACCCAGCTGTGTTTCCAAGAGGTTTTACTGAACACAGAGCATGCAGGACCTGTGAGAAGCTAACAGTAATTAACCCCAGGGCTCTTACCTTCTCCGGACTGGCTGTCCAGACTCATTCTCACTGCCACCTGATGGGTTCCGACGCCGTGAGTAAGGAAACTTCGGTGATTTATTGCGGTCACTGGGAGAATTATACAGCCCACTAGAGTTAAGAAGAAAGAACAAATAGCTCGCTCTGAAACTTCCAGAAGAGTTTGGGCAGCTAACTGAGTTTCAGCCTACAAAAATGAGAAGGCTCACACACACATTTATATACATCTTCAGCTACACATGTATGTGTGTGTGCATGTGCAATGTAAACACAAGTGGTACTGCTTTCCAGCAATAAGTATTTCACACTGAACCTTGAAAATGCAGGAGAGAGACCTTCTAGCATTGCCAGGTCACCAGCTCTAAGTTTAAAAAATGTAGTATATACACATTATTATAGCATAATAAAATTTCTATGCTTTACTCAACCCAGAGGTAGGCATTCCCATTCTTTATGTTTTCTGTGGATACAAGTATGAAAACAGTGTTCCTGTCATGACACATGTCTTCAACACAAAGCTAATGCTTGGAATGGTGAAATTATTTTAACTCCAGCTCCCTGCTGTTCATCCACGCAACCCTCTGCCAATGGTGTGGAAGGGTTTCAAGCTTCAGGTCATGTACTTAAGACTGAGTGGGACCCAATGGGTTGGGTTGTTACCAAATTAGATGTAGACTGTCAATAGATAGCCTGTATAGATAATTCTGTGATACCTTCCAACAGAAGCATAAAGACCTCTTTCAACAGTGTATCTAGCAGAGCCTGTGTTGGAGTACATATTACTCTAAGGTGGTCTACTGATGCTCCACGACTTTTTGGAGGAAGCATGCTAAACTCAACCATATATTTTATCTAGCATTACTTAGACCTTTTCACAACAACTATGCAGTAAGTACAATATTCTCACCAAATTGCAGCTAAGGTATTTCTTTCTACTTTCCTAAAACATGCTGGCCTTCAAATTGGATATATTCTTCTGTACCTGTTTCTGCAGACCACGAATTGCAGCACTACTCTGCATGGTTAAAAAGCTACCACAGTTCATTGCAATAAGAATTACTATCAGAAGCTGTGAAAGCCTCTGTGCAGCATAGAGTCTGCATAGTCCCTTAGAACGGATGGACTTGCCAAAACTCAGTCCTACCATTCTTTGGCTTCTGAGGGATCAAACTTCCTGCTATTCTGAGAGCAATTTTAACACTGGAGCCATAACATGACACCACTTCTTTAAAACTCACAAAGAAACATCTGTCGTAGCTGGAGGATATTTGCACACTTCCTTCTCCTTACTCTGAACACTCTTGATTTTGAAAACAGAAAGAGCACACAGGACAAATCATCATAGTGGCCTCAAAAGGCACATCATGTATAGATCTGAATCATCACATAAAAGCAGGACCGTACTGGATTACACTTAATGTGTCATCTAGTTCAGTGGCCTGCTTCCACAGTGGCCAGAAGCACTCACCTACAGAAAGCAAGAAGCTGAATACATATGACAGCTACACAGTACCCTCTCAGTTCCTCACTATTCCCAGTCCAGGGGATTGACTGACGCAGCTGCTATACCTCTGTCTTCAGAAGCCCTTGGGGACTTATCTTCCCTCACTTCCCCAGCTTCTATCAGGAATCCACTAACTTCCAGCACCTTTGTAATGGAGGATCACAGACCTCTTACTTACAGTGAGTTACTACTCACTGCCTTTCTGAATGCTTTTAAACCACCTCCAACACCTCCATCTGAAGATCCCAAGTTCTTACACTGGGAAAATACAATTCTGATCCCTTTTTCCTTTTTCTCATGATTTCTCTCCTAATCTTTCTCTGACTCATGATTTTCTAGACCGCATCCCCTGAAATTATCTCTTTCTCAGACAAAAGAGAGAGTCCTGCCTGGCCTATACTCTTCATGCAGATTTCCTGCACAGCCATTCACATCTTTGATTACCCTTGCTACTCCTCTCAAAGCCTTTTCCTGAGATAAGGACATCAGAACTTCATTCACAATTCATGGAGCAAATATGTGATCCACCAATTTACGTAATAGCATAATGCTGTTCTCTTGCCTTCCTAATAATTGCTAATTGTTCTTCTGACTGCTACATAGTTGTTGTTTGCATGAAGTTATCCATTATAACTCCACAGCACCTCATTTTACTCAGAAATCTAGGGTTATTTTTTTACCCCATGTGCCTCTCTCTACACTTACTGACTCAACATCATCCGCCATATGACCTGTCACTCATATTTCAGGGGTCTTCCTGCCACTTTTCACAGATAACTTTTGCTATCCTAAATAATCCTGTTCCATCACCAAACCTTATCACCCCTTTTCTGGGTCTCTGATAAATGCGTTCAATAGCAGAGGTCTACGAACAGATCTTTGTGGAAAGCCACTGGTGACTTATCCACTGACTACTTCCTCCTGCACCTATGTTCCTAATTTTTAACTGATTATTTCTCCATTATGGGACCTATCTTCTTCTATACAATACAGATTTTTTGTGACCCTGTTAATACATTAATTTATTATATCACTATCCTTCAATCTATTTGCCATGGTATGATATTTACCATTGCACAATACCTAAGACATTATGCCTTGCCTTACCTCTGTGGGCCATTTTCCTCCCACGGTGCACTTGTTTTACTTCTTTGGGTTTCTGGACTGTTTTCATTTTTCATCTTTTTAAAGCTAAATAAAAGTACAGATATATATATATTTAAACCCATAGTGTACAGATCACATGTTCTCTCCCTCTGACCTCTTAAAAATCAAACTAAAATGCATACAGTCATTACAGAGACCCATCTTCACATAGAGCTATTTTCCTGCTATACAAAAAAGGGCAAACAGCTGCTATATCGAAGAATCTCTCTAGAAAGGGAGATTGGAAGGAAAGCAAAACAAGACTTGAAAATCAACTCTACAAGCTCATAATTATGGCTGCACTGAGTCAGAAAAAAGGTCAGTCTTATCTCAGAACAAACAAGAATAGATGCTTAGACAAAAAGTCTAACAACAGGGCAAATATACCATATGCTGTCACAGTCTTCTACAAAATGCAGTTAACAGGTCTTTGAACCAGAGGCTTTATCTGCTTTTTATTTTATGTAGCTCCTGATGGAACTTTCTTCCATTGGTTTATTTAAATACCTCTTGAACTTGTTTGAATTTTTGGCATAAATAGTGCCTTGTAGCAGTACTATAGTCCAGTATATAACTAGCACAATTACTTCATTTTGTTTCAAAACTTCCACGCAGTTCAAAACTGTCATCCTGTGTTGTTCACTAGTTCTACGCTTACAGAAAGAAAAAAGGCTCTATGAATGATGGTTCCCTAATCACAAACTCCGCACAATCTTTTTATACATTTATAATAACTGTCTCATCCCTTTTCCAAGTGAATGAATCAGACTGTTTAATTTCTCCCAGCGTAGGAGTTACCACATACCTCTGATCATCCTTATCACACTTCTCTATCACTTTCAGGTCTACAGTACCTTCTTTAAGTAAGTAACAGATGTATGTAACAGATGCATGGGTGATAACTATTCAAAACATGACAGACCACAGGTTCATATAGTAGCATATTCTTCACATTGCTTATCCAGTAACTCCTTATGTTTTGTTTTTCCTAGACAAGGAGCATAGATCTGACAGTGTGAAAGAGCTTTCGTGACTGACTGCTGCACAGTAAAGTAGGACAGTCAAGAGAGTCACCAGGCCTACAAGATATACCAGTGTTTGTAACCAGTCTCCCATCATACCTACAGAATATGGGAATGTGGGGGTTGGGGAACAGCAGGATGCTCCAATTCTTCCTACTCCTACCATTCTCACAGTGCCAGGCTTTACACCTTCCAACATTAATACCCCTAGGTAGCTTGCTCAATGCCACTCCAAGTGCTGGAAGGTGGCTTCCAGCTGGACAATCCTTTTGCATCCATCTTCTTACCAATGGCTCATCATGCTTTTTCTACATCATCATCCCTAAAGCTCACTACCTACAGGAGTAAGCAGTTCACCTGATAAGGAACTAGATAGCCACACAGATTTCCACTAAGCTCCTCAAGAAGTATTACTGACAGTAACCCACTACAACCATAAATATAACATAACTTTCCAAAGTGCAACTTAAACAACATAAAAACAGCTTTACAAATCCTTAGAGCAGAGGACATAAGCTAGAGTTCTTTGCCCAGAGCAGGAGGTGACAGACTTAGCTTTATGAAGGAATCATGGCTACTTAACTCACTAATCCACTTCTAACGTCAGCCTTTGGTTACTATGGGTCACTGAGTTAATAATTTAATTCTCTCATAGTGAACAAAATGCAAAGCTACAATAAGTCAGCA